GGACGGAGGCTCATGGGGAGCTTCCTCCAACCACTGGTGCAACTCGTCTGTATCTGAGATATTATGGTAAAGTCAAAAGCCTGTGAAGAAGCTGCTACAGCAGCACTGGATTGTAACCCGAAGTACAAAATAAACGCCTGCAAGTCCACACTGATGTGTGCCAATTACTGAACAAACAGATGGGCGTGCATGGAGGCAGCGTGGCCCTGGTCTCTGAACGGACAGACGGTCAGTCCTTATGCTGCCCCGGCTTGTGGAGGGCACAGGCTGCCAAGCTGACGCCTGCTGGTCCTGCAGCGGGACCCCCTCCACCTCGCCTATGCCCCAGGCTCGCTGGGCCCCATCTTCCCCACGGAAGCCAGAGCTGCCCAGCTGGCTGGGCCCTGCGAACGCCCCGGGAAGGAAAGGGTTGCCCTGGGCCCACCTGCTTCTGTTTTCTTTGCTTGGGTCTTGTGGAATTCCAGCAGCTGCGCGGCATGCACAACGGCTGCCATTGTTCTCCGCCTCAGCGTGGCGGACGACGCGTCCCCAGGAAAGTCAATAAGCAGCATGCTGCCAGGGCGGCCTCAGCGCCAGCGCCAGGGCCAGGGCCAGGGCCAGGGCCAGGGCTCTCCAGGCAGCTCTCACCCAGCAAACACCAGCGCTGCATGAAGTGAGCCTGAGGCACCCGAACGAGGTGGCAACATGCAGGGCCACAGCAGACACTGCTGGTGAGGGCAGTCCTTGCCCCCTCGGCGCCTTTCCCATTGCGTAGCTGCACGCACTGCCCGCCGGGCATCAGCATCTGCACGCCCTGCTCTTCCCGGTCACATCCCAGGGGCCCGGAGACCCCACAGGCCAGGCTCCCTCCTGGGCTCTGAGGATGCCGCATGGGACAGAGGCCACCCACTGCCCAGCATGACAACGATCACACGACTCACACCGCCACAGCATCTACGCGCCAGAGTGGAGGGGAGAGTGCAGGGGGGATGCGGACGGAGGCTTGTGGGGGCAGCGTCTACGCACCACAGAGGATGGGAGAGTGCGGAGGGGAAGCGGACGGAGGCTCATGGGGAGCTTCCTCCAACCACTGGTGCAACTCGTCTGTATCTGAGATATTATGGTGAAGTCAAAAGCCTGTGAAGAAGCTGCCACAGCAGCACTGGATTGTAACCCGAAGCACAAAATAAACGCCTGCAAGTCCACACTGATGTGTGCCAATTACTGAACAAACAGATGGGCGTGCATGGAGGCAGCGTGGCCCTGGTCTCTGAACGGACAGACGGTCAGTCCTTATGCTGCCCCGGCTTGTGGAGGGCACAGGCTGCCAAGCTGACGCCTGCTGGTCCTGCAGCGGGACCCCCTCCACCTCGCCTATGCCCCAGGCTCGCTGGGCCCCATCTTCCCCACGGAAGCCAGAGCTGCCCAGCTGGCTGGGCCCTGCGAACGCCCCGGGAAGGAAAGGGTTGCCCTGGGCCCACCTGCTTCTGTTTTCTTTGCTTGGGTCTTGTGGAATTCCAGCAGCTGCGCGGCATGCACAACGGCTGCCATTGTTCTCCGCCTCAGCGTGGCGGACGACGCGTCCCCAGGAAAGTCAATAAGCAGCACGCTGCCAGGGCGGCCTCAGCGCCAGCGCCAGGGCCAGGGCCAGGGCCAGGGCCAGGGCTCTCCAGGCAGCTCTCACCCAGCAAACACCAGCGCTGCATGAAGTGAGCCTGAGGCACCCGAACGAGGTGGCAACATGCAGGGCCACAGCAGACACTGCTGGTGAGGGCAGTCCTTGCCCCCTCGGCGCCTTTCCCATTGCGTAGCTGCACGCACTGCCCGCCGGGCATCAGCATCTGCACGCCCTGCTCTTCCCCAGGGACCTCCCTTCCCTTTAGCAGGGGGATGGCTCCAGGAGGGCCCCTGCTCCACTCCACTACCACGGCGTCGTTTCCACCACGTGCTGTGTTGGGCCTTCTGGGAGACTGAGCACAGCCCCAGGAGGAGCCTGGCACGCTCTGCCTGGGGAACTGGGCAGCAGCTCTCGTGGGAAACGTTCACTTCCACGGCCACTGCTCTCCTTCCTGTGACACAGACAGCACTGGTCCAATCACCAGAGAAGCTGCCTGTGCAGGGCCCAGGGAGACGCTCCTGAGCCCTGCCCGCTGGACAGGGTGCGACGCCCCACTCCTGCCCTGTCACCTCGCCTGGTGCACCATATTAATTGCTCATTGCCTGCTAGATGCCCCGATGCTGGTGCAGAGGAGATGCAAGTGCCCCAGCACCCAGGCACAGGTGGGCACTGGTGCCTCTCAGCTGCCCTCCTGCTCAGGATTCACACAGATCCACAGCCAGGCTGGGGCCCAAGGCAGGAGCCTGTGGCCTGCAGGCCCAGCCAGCGCTGCAGGTAACCGTACTGTGCCATTCATAGGCATCTCAGGGCATCAGAACAGGCAGAAACGAGGATGCAGCCTCATAACTGCCTTGCTGGAGACAGTTTAGGGTTGAAGTTTCTGGATGTCCGGTCTAAAGCCACAGGAGGTGTGGGGCACACAGAAGAGACAGGCTTCGCCGTGGGGCACCCCAAAATACTGGGAAAAGAAAATCTGCAGACAATGGCGACTGCCACACGTTGCCTCTCGGAGCGGCTCCCCAGAGCTCTAGACTTTGGAATCAGTTCTCACCATCGCTGACGGGGCACGAGGCCTGGTGGCTGCAGCTGCACGTACTGTCTTCCGAGGCCCCACAAGATGCTGAGCCCCGGGAACACGGACATGCCCACCACTGAGCCCTGGGCTGCCCCGACCCCTCCTGGGAGGGGAGCAAACGTCTCCACATTTAAGGGGGACTGCAGGTTGCTTCAGTATCAACCCTTCCGGCACCCTGTGAAGACAGCTCTGACCCAAATGGGTAGAGGCCGGGCAGGCCAAGACCCAGGGAGGCTCCCCACACCCGACCTTCCTGCTCTGCAGGACACAGACCAGACGCTTGCTCGTACAGTCCACAAGAGAGAACGCACACTGCTATAGGCCCTGAGGCCCGTGATCGCTCCAGTTCTCCAAGTGCAAAACCAGACACACTCTCTCCCACCCTTCCCGTGACCATTGGTGACACAATTTCACTGCCCTGGAATCAGATGGAACTGTGGTTTCTCTGAACTAAATCTCCAAGTGAGAATCATTAATGTTAAGTAGTGACTGACGCAGAGGGCCACACAGCTCTCAGCCCTAAATCGGTGGCTCTGAGGACCCTGGCCTCGCTGCTGCCTGCTTGGCTGGCCCAGGAAGGGTGTCCCCTGAGGCCTGAGGGCTTGTAGAGTTTTCACCGTCCCATGCTCACCTCCTAGATTGCAGGGTCCTGTGCTACTTGTTTTAAGAACAACAATTTAAAAACAGCCAAAGAAAAACTCACCCTAGACCTGGCTCTGCAGAGCCAAGGGGCGACCGAGGGGCGACTCCCGGGGACATTCAGGCTGGGCGGACCCTGAGTGCACAGGTGTGAGGAGGCATGGGTATGGACGGGTCTGAACCACCAGAGAAGCCAGGTGCAGGATGGGGGCAGAGGGCAGGCAGAGACCACAGGGTGCAGCAGAGGGCCCTCCTCATCCTCACAATGGCCGGGATCCCTCACTCTGCAGCCAAGCTCCTAGGCACCTGCTCCCCAAATAAAACCCAGGCAGAGGTGCATGCTGACTTTCCTTTTCTATTTATGGGAATCAGAGGTTGAGGAGGGACCCTCTGCCACTGAAGAACCAGAA